TCCTCCCCAGACCAGAAATCTGCATAACCAGAAATTCCAGCCTCCTCCCTCCCTCCCTCCACAGGACTCCTTGGTTGGTCAGTGAGTGGAAGGCCTCCTCGGGGCTCCCTACACACAACCGTGGCAAGACATGGAATCCGGTTTATTTCCAAATGGAGAGAACTATTTCCAAGAGAGGAATTTAAGGGAGCCATGAGGCTCTCCAGAAGAGGAAGCTTTAGGGAAACCGGACGGCCCTTGGTCTGGAAAGGAACAGGGCCTCCTGCTTGAGCAGAGGGTTGGGATAGGAGACCTCCCAGGTCCCTCCGAACTCTGCTATTCTCTTAATTCCGCAGGCTGTTTCGGATCATAGAGATACTTGAACAAGGCTGCCCCAGTCACAGAAGGGGCCGTTTGAGGGTTTCATCGTCCGAACAACAACAACTCACGTCAAGGTGGGGAGGGGGGTTCAGGGCCAAAGCAGAGTGGCCCAACTCCCCTTCCGACCGGGAGACAAACATTTGCAACCAACCAAGAGACGCACAGTGTGTGCTGAGCTATTCTAGTCCCTGTTGTCTTGGAGCGGCCAATGGAGCCGCCCCTCAATTCCATTCTGACCCTTCTCCCCTTTCCTTGACCAGAAGTCCGAGAACAAACGGACTGTACCCAGACATCGCCAAGCCAGACAAGGGGGAGGCCTGCCCTTCCTTCCCAGCGGGAGGAAAAGGGAGCATTTGCAAAGCGGAGGGTGGGCAGCGGCGGGTCACCCAGCCAGGGGGCTGCTTTCCCCTGTCAAGATGACGACAGCGGGGAAAGGAAACGGATCACCGGCCGAGCCGGGGAAGCGATGCCTGGTGTGGCCTGCAAGAATCCCGCTCCTCCTGCTGTCTTAAGTCTCCGCTTTGAAGGCTGCAAAGAGGGAAGGGACCCACCCAGTGCTCTTTCCTAGCCCCCCCCCCCCAGATCAGACGGGCGCGGGAAAACAGGAAGCGCCGCTCTGCAGAGACCGGAGCGTTCTTCAGGGGGTCTTTGCGCAGGAAGGTCCCCTGCGGGCGTCCGACACTGAACACAAGGCGCAAAAAGGCCAGGAAAGGCCCAAGACGCTCCGAAGAATGGCCGCTCTCGGCTCCAAGAAAAGCAGGATATGCAGAACAAACGAGAGACGGGCGGGTTTACGTCGGTCTCTGCGGGGGCTTCTAAGGGCAGCTGGAGAGCAGTCCCAGAGGCCCCCACTGGGGCACCGGCCGCTCCCAAGGGCCTGACCCACGGCTGACCTCCTTGCCAGCTTCTCCAACACTCAAGCAAGCGTGGAAGGGCTTGGCTCCAGGGGCTGCGGGCGCCCCGTCACTCAGGAAAAGATTGGGCAGCCCTTTGTCTGAAATGGCATAAGATCTCCTGCCCCAGGAGGGGGTTGGGCTAGACGACCTCCGAGGGTCCCTGTGATTCTAATTACATCCCTTCCATGCAGGCAAATGTCTGATTTAGAAGCCAACGCTCATCCTGGTTCAACCTGAAGGTGGCTTGAAAGGGTTCACAGCTGGTTCTCGCTTAGCAACTGCTTCGCACGGCGACCGTTCGCAGTTACCAGGGTGGCGAAAAAGTAAGGGGAAGACTAACAACGCTATCGACTAACTTAACTGCAGCGATTCACTTAGCAACGGCGGTTAAGGTTATAAAATGGGAAAAAACTCATTTAGCACCTGCTTGCTTAACAATGGAACCTCTGGCCTCAAGGATGGTTGTAACTTGAGGACTACCCAGAGTGGGGAGTCTACCCCACTAATGAACTGCACACATTTCAGGAGGGCAATTGGGCATTTTCCTGAGTCTCCACCCGTCCCTAGAAACGGGGTGTCCCCCCCCCGAATGATTGGGGCAGCCTAATCGTTCCAGAGGGGCTCCCCACCTCTCTCATCTCTTCCTCCAGCTGCTGATGGAGCAACGCCCCGGAGGCGAAATGCAGCTCCTCGGGGCCACGCAGGAACCAGGGCCACGCGTGGCCTAGCTGGGTCTCCGAGAGGGCGGTGGGGGCGGTGGCAGCGTCTCCTCCTCCTTCGGCCTCCCCCGGTGGCTGGAAGAGAGAAAAGCATCCGCGTCAGTTCCCTTCCGCAAGGAGGCCAGCATGGCGGCACAGCTGGGCAGGAAGCCTTGGCATAACGCGGCTTACGGCCAGGGCAAACCATGGTTGGAACCGACTCTGGCTTGGCGCTCCGGAAGCAGCCACAGAAATCGGATCTAAGGAAGTTCTAAGCCAATAGATCCCTGTCGTCCGGAGCCAGCACTGTTCAAGGCTGGGGAGCATGGAAGTCGGGATCCAATGCATTGAGAAGTCCATCCACCTACGTATTCATGCATGTGTGCTTTATACACACACACACACACACACGTATGTATATATACATGTATATACTGTGTGTGTGTATTTAGCTTAGATGTATATATGTATGTATGTATGTATTGTGTCACAACCCCTGGTAAAAACTATATATATATGTGTGTGTGTGTGTGTGTAACATATATATACACATACTATATACTAAATATATGTATTTAGTGTCACAACCCCTGGTAAAAACTATATATATGTGTGTGTGTGTGTGTGTAACATATATATACACATACTATATACTAAATATATGTATTTAGTGTCACAACCCCTGGTAAAAACTATATATATGTGTGTGTGTGTGTGTGTAACATATATATACACATACTATATACTAAA